ATGTATGTATTGTATGTATGTATTAAAATAAACTAAGCTCGTTACGTAAGATAAGGGATGAAAGTGTCTCAGTACATCCCCTTTGGAGTTAACGTCAGTTNTATATATATATATGTATGTATGTATTAAAATAAACTAAGCTCGTTACGTAAGATAAGGGATGAAAGTGTCTCAGTACATCCCCTTTGGAGTTCCTTCCTAAAACGTCAGTTATATCACTGCATCCGTTCTTTTATAAGTGTCGCGATGCATCCCGCATACACACACACACACATACACACACATACACACATTGTTTCCTTTACATATTATATTATTCTCGCTTCCCTTACGGAATTTCGGATCTGCCCTCCAGCAAATTTTCGGCTATTATACACGGAGCTAACATTCTACGGTCCGACATAAACGGAAGAAGCTGCCGCCGCAAGTGGTAAATATAAATTTACATAATGCAGGATATGCATAAAAAGTTGCGTAAAACTGAGATTATCGCTATAGTTGAGGACGCTGCGTTGTGAGGAAGGTGATATCTTTTAATCTCCTTAAAAGATACACAGATAAGAAAGAAGTTATTTTTGATAGAAAAAATTAATTCTTGCAATGTATAATATAATTCGGATCTCGTTATCAATTTGTTTCAGGATCTCGTATTGCTCGGCGGATGCGACGCACGATCATGTGTTCGCGTTCATCGCGACGAATCTGAACGAGACGATGGAGTGTCACGCGTTTCTCTGCCCCAAGAGAAAAATGGCGCAGACAGTGACACTGACTGTGGCACAGGCTTTCAACACTGCTTATCAGGCGTGGCAGTTGTCGCAGTCCGATCCCAGGATCCATCACGCGCAAGATAAGAGTCCTCCTTTGACGGGCGATAAGACTGGTGAGGAAGCTTTTCATATTAGTAGTATTACACTAAAATCGATCGTTATGATCTTTCAAGACGACATAAAAATCTTCTCGTAAAAATGCAAGAAAATAAAAAAGAATTAAGGGAGAATTGAGAAAATAGGGGAAATAAATACGATTAAAAGATTCTGTTAATTTAATAAAAGGTGTTAAAGAAAAATTAAGATCTTTAAAAAAAAAGATTTGTTAATTATATAATTAGAAATTTTAATAATATTAAGAATTTTCGAAGAGGACAAATTTTCTACATAAGTTATATACAATTATTAATTTAGGTAAATTTGGAAGCTTTTTAAAACGCAAGTTACGCGCGATTAGAACTTGAGGAAAAATTAAATATATTCATCGTCAATGAGTAGAAATGGAGCCTACTCTCGTTTTTCTGCACTTCGGAAAAGTTGCTGCTTGCTTTAATCTGGAGCGGGTTTGTGTGAGCGGGGATATAAAGAGGTGGCTGCCACGATGATCGTGAAGTGCAGTGCCTATATGGGCTTTGCACTTAACCCGCCGAGAGTACGGATATTGCGGGGGTGCTTCCTGGCACCGAGCAAGAGAGCCAGGAAATTGTGCGTTAATATTGAGGGTAGCACACACACTCTGCAACAATGAAAAGTATTGTAATTCCACTTTTGGACATTTTCAGTATTAATCCTCTTTCCTTTAATGACACTTTATTACATTTAACAAATAAGTATAGAAAGTGGAAAGTATTATATAATTCTAATTCGTCTAATTTTATGTTTATTTAATACCAGATTGTTGTTCTGATACAAAGTGATAAACAAAATACTATAGGGAAAAGAAAATTATTGCAAAATAATTCTCTCCTGAAAGTTTACTATTTTTTACTTTTATTGAATATTTCTCATTGGTGCTGTATCAATGTTTTATTGCTAATATGATATATAATTCACATTGATATAGCACGTTTATGCCGAAAATATAGATATACCAGACGAAACTGATATTTTCATAATCGATCAATTTAATTCTCGCTGTATCGCAAAACTAGTGTATTGATTTTTAGATTAGTTTTCCAAGGATTTTATTTTATGGATATTGCATGGAAATATGTCACTTTTAAATATTGTATCGAATATTTGGGGGTGCAGAGCTTTAGAAAGGTTTATGTAGGTGATGCTTCATTTCAAAAATAAATATTTATCTGTATCAATCCGTGCGCTAAAAAATTAATTTGCATTTTCAAATCTTTTTATCGCGCTATTTCATAAACCATATTTTTATCGAATCTCTCTACATATAATTCAAAATTGTTATAAATTTTGAATCTTCTTTCAATTCGAAAAGCATATTTATCCAATAAAAATTTTAACATATGAATAACATTCAAATTATAAAAAATTTTCAAACAATAGAGTAATTTTCACTAATCGAACATTTAATTGTAAGATGAGAGTGAATAATGATTTATTTAACATATTCAAGTGTTTTATGTTACTTTATAGTAAATAGTATTTTCATATACATATTTATTTGCACAATTCTATCTTTTTATGCAATATTATCAATTTATTCGGAAATAATATACCTTCTGTTATACATCTGTTCGATATTGTCTAATTATTTGATTTGTATCTTTGATTGCAGATAACAATGAGAAAAAAAACGCCAGCGAGACAAAAACCACCACCGGCAAGATCAACGAACAAAATAAGCAGAATGGTCAACAACGGCGTAATGAAAGCCAGAAGAATTTATTAATTGATCTGTCGAACGATCCTAAACCAGCAGGAAATTCATGGGTGAGTGATAAAATGCGAGATTCTCTCTCTCTCTCTCTCTCTCTCTCTCTTTGATGCATCATTGTCGTTGCTGGCGCCCATTAAAAGGCGCCCGATCGTAAAGCGATAATTCCGAGGCCTTTGATCTCTTTGCCGTTGCAACATCGAGTCGATATTCTACATCGTGTTGCTATATTTATAAGCTTTTCGCCATTAATTTACATCGCATTAGTAGATACGAGAAGAGGTTGCTCTTTTGGAGATTAATTAAAATATCCGGAATAGCAGTCGTTCGTATTTATTCCTCGAGAATTTTGGAAAAATTTCAAATACACACACATATTTTATACTTTTATTTGGGAAAGCGCCAAAACATTTTCTTCGATGTTTTCTAAATCAAATAAATCGGGAAACTTTATATTCATACATGCTATAATTTTATTCATTATAACTGATTAAAATATTTGAAATATACTTGCAACATTACATGTATTCTTGTGTGAATTACAAAAGAAAAATCTATCATTAACTCTTCCATATTTTCTATATCGATAAAAAACTCTAATTGTAGAAACAATTTTATATCTGAAAAAACTTTTAACCTACCTTTTAATAATATTCCAATAATTATATAATAATCGTTATTATTTTTCATTTATAATTGATAATGAGAAATAATAAAATTGAGCAGATAAAAATTTATTGAATAGCGTGAATTGTTTGTTTGTTACAGGTGTGTTTCGAGGAGGACTCAGACGCGAAAAAAAGCCAGAAGAAGAACGCGGCGGTCAACAACAGTATTCCTATGACCACGCTTAGGCATAATACAACGGCGTCTACCCCGGCTCATCATGTGGTGCCTCGACCGAGCGCTGGTTTCAAGGTGCAGAACGCTTGGGGTGAATCCAGATCGGTCGATCTCATGTGCTCGTAGCAGGCAGGATAGCCGGCGGCCGACAGTTTCAGGGATGTGCCGTTGATCACAGGCCTCTGGAAGCATCTTTCGAACAACGGCCAAGCCAAAAAGACCAACGGCAGTCATTAAAGATCCTTCAGCCGAACTGTCCTAATAACTTCCGATCGCGAATTTAGACATGAAGAATCGAGGATTCTTGCCGATAATCCATATTTTTAGCGAATGCCGAAGAAAGACAGCGGAGACGTGACACAGTGATGTCTATCTTGTGTGATGTAATCTTAATGAGACTATGTTAGGTCCAAGTGAGGTTTCTATATCAGCTGAGGGAACGAAGGAATGGCTGCACGGATGATTTCTATTCGATATAATAACGGCGATGCTGATTTTTAAAGAGGACCAACCCGCAGCGGAAAAAGATTGCGATAATCGGGGTGAGATCAATTTGCAATGGATTTTGTATAACGCGTATATATACATATACATATAAATCTGTGCCAATTACTTTACACATACATATCGCACAAACATCAGTGAAAGAGAATATAAGAATGTCGAGACATACGCGCTTTTTATTGTTGTTAATAGTATTAACTCTGGAAATTAAATTAAAATTAGTCTTAAATTCGCGTTTTGAGAAAATAAAACTTCAAAGAGAGATCAGCATATTAAAGATTAATTTTCAAAGTTAACCGAAGGATTAAAAATCTCGATGCAAAAATCAGATAAATTCTTCTCAATTTTTTAAAAAAGGTTAATATAATCTATCTATTAATTAAAATTTTTTTAATAAAAACTATAATTATAATGAATATCTCTAAAAAAATTTATAACATTTACTACAAAATAAATCATGAAAATATAATAAATAAATTAAATAGTCATTTAACTGATTTTTATATTTTTTGGTATTTTTATTGATACTTCATTTATATCCGATTTCTCTGTTTTTCTTACACAATTATATGGATATGAAATTAATTCTTGAGAGTACAATTCATGTGAGTATACTTGAAGCTTTAATGCTAAAAATGCATCCCGTCCAAATTTGAAAATATCGCTGCCACATTTTAACCCCGTGTATTTTGAATATTTTACATCTACGACATAGTATAGGAATAAATTGTTTTAAAACGATTTTTTAATGAATTCTTATCACGTAAAAATGCGAATTCCAGGGTTAATACCTATTTGTTATTTTTATTAGAAAAAAACTCCAATCTTTTATCTACATCATACACAAAACGCGAAGAATCGAGAAAACACCAGGTTTCGTAGATCGATTCCCTATTACGAATGCTGGATAGAGATAATCCTTTACGTAATCGTTGATAATTGAACCTTTGATTGAATAGCTGGACTATTTCTTATTGTTAGCTGAAGTTCTTGTTAAAGTTTCTTGCAAAAACAAAGTTTGATGTAAACGTAGCCATTTAAACAGATATAAAAAAATCGCATTATTTTTAATGCATTGTTGGCGTAATTTGCGATTAGCTCATTTTGTAAAGTTCATTTCTGTTACTTTATTTCATATTTAAAGAGGTCAAATTTGATGAACAAGCTTTCTTGCGCACCGATGATGATACAATTTCATTAATAGCGTCGACGGATTAAAGAGCGATTGCTATCGAATTATCGCAATATTTGCATATGATATATTAAGTGTGAATGTGTTGATATACTATGTTATGAATAAATGTGCGCGTATCATAAGTAGGGCGTAATAATGCCGCTAATAATCGAGGGGTGAACGTTAACATAATTTAGCGTTAACTATATTGATATTTAATTTATCAATTGTTAAACCGTAAATATATCGTATTCCTGGTTGTAGATCATATCTGTATGTAATTATCGCGATTACGTGACATCGGACAATCCAAGTCCTCATTTCGCGATAATATGTTATTGTCGATTCGGTTATAATATTTTCGAAACAATAATTTGATATTTTTTACCGCATGGTCGACATAGGGCTGTGTTCGTTTCCGAAAGAAAAAGATATAACGGATATAGTACATATTATATGGTAACTTACTGTCCATTAGTCGATGTTATATCGTCAAAGAACGACGTTTTTAAACTATTAGATAAAATTACGTCGATTCTAATATAGTTATTCTGATGGAAGATTTTCATAGATTCACGGAATTTATCACAAGATGATATGAAATAGTCAAAACGCTCATTTTTTTAATTAAATAAGTCATATTAATCTCTTTTCGAGAGAAAGAAAGAGAGAAAGAGAGAGAGATTAAAGTTTTTGTACAAAATTTTTCGTTATCTTTATTAATTTTTAAGATAAAACATTGAATTTTATTGTAAAATATTTTTTATCTCTATATAAATATTTTTTTTTACAAAAGAATTGTTATATTAGATAATATATTATTAGAAAAAGCATTACTGTTTTTCTTTAAAAATCTATAAAAAATATTAGAATTGTCTTAAAATCTCGAAATTTTATCGTTATAATTAAAAATTAATTATCAGAGTTGTGAGATGCCAAAGTAGGCATTTATAATCAAGAAGGGATTAAAATGGCTTTGCATTATTTTATCCCGTATAGATCAGATGATATATCAGCTGAAAACTTGACCGTTCAAATGTATGCTGATAATCATCTCGAAACGATAATTCCATTATTCTATGCTGCGCATTAGTAGCACACGATCATTGCACTTGTATTTACCACAGGAATGTTACATACATTTTTTGCGCTAAATGTTCGTAGTTCGTAAGCAGCACAAATCAAATATACGTATACATATCCGATGTGCGTCTTGTGAGAATTTATTCCGGTACAGAAAAAAATAATCACCTTTTTTGCGATCCTTAAGATGAATTCAGATATCGATTCATTCCGCCTTATGCGCACATGCGCGATGGCTAAACCCCTATCAATATTGATAATTTTAGTTTACATTCGCGAAATTATACAAAAACTACGTTTGCAAGTTTCGTTTTATTGACATAAGCTAATAATTATTGTCACAAGATAATAGCATGATCAGAAGTCATTGGGGTATATAGATTTGTTTCTCGAGTAAGGATAAGATGACACGCAGTACCAAAGATAGAAAAAAAGGAATATGCTTTAACAGAAATTTATTGTTCCAATACATCACGAATGTAATTTGTAAGAAGGGAGATAGCCTCCCAGATGTTCCGGTAAATCGAGAAGAAGCAAATATTACGTACACGAGGATAATCTCCATACTTTATGCATTTATCCGCATTACTTTTTTAGATGGTTTTTCCTTAGCCAATTTATATGAATATCGTCATATATATCATAATTTTTTCTCTTTAATCTTTTGACTTATAAAAATCGAAAATGGTTGCTTTTAAACAATAGATCCTTCTCTTCAGTCGAAGGACCTATCTCAATTATCCCTTTCGGACTAGTGACGCGAAATAAACATATTTCGAGAAAATATTTTTTTCCAACGAAAGAGAAGGATAGTATTTCGAAAATATTTTAAGAATGTTCCGGGGATTTATATAACGTTTCCTAACATTATAACTATAAGAATGATCAGAAAATATTCTGAGAATTTTTGAAATATTTTGAGACGTCTCTGAAGAATATTATAAATTCCTCCAAAGAATTCTCTAAAAATATTTGGAGAAATCTCGGAATATTCGGTTGATATATATGTACAGATTTGCACAAATTTCTTGCTATATATATAGTTATATAATATTACATAAATGCGCTTTTATAAAATTCGTAATGACAGATTTTTTTCTCGAAATATTCGTAAAATATTTTCTTGCGTCAACAATCCAATCTACGATTAGTAATATGAAAAGTCCTCGTGTCCGCGCTTTGAAGATTTCCTGACGCTTTTAATTAGCGACGGCATCGCGTATATATATATATATATGTAATACATTACACACCCCGTATTACATGCGCCTCTTTTTCTCTCACACATTCTGTCGCTTACCTTCTCATATAAATACTTAACGATTACTCCTTATATGCAATACTTATATCTCTAATCACTATCTCGTCTTTGCTGAAATTGGTGTTTAATATCGAACATGCCGTACGAGAACCGCAATTTCGCGATAAAGACAAATATTAAAAAATAATTGCACTCCACGCTCTAAACAATTTCTTATCAATCTAGTGTAACAATAACGATACAGTAATAATAAATTGATCGCATAAAACTACATAACTCTCGCGATTATCGCAAAAGAATAATCCCTCTCTCGATAAATAATGCTTCTAAAATATGTGCGCAAAAAAATGGGTGTGCAAGATGTACAGTGATACGTATAAAAGTCTCGTCTTCTCAATGGAAGAATTTCAAGTCGTAAAAATGCAAGAGAACAGGATGATCATATCCTGCGAAACTCTCGTACGGCAATCAAACGTACCAAATTTGCCAGGCGTATTCACAATACATAGAGTGTGTCACGTAAATTAATCCGGTCGTATATTCTTCAAATATAAGAAAAAGAACTTAATTCAATTGCAATTCACGAAAAATAAAAAATCTTTTTTTTTTTGTTATACACACTCGAGTATCGCAACCGGGCCGTTTCTACGCGACACGTCATGCATAACGTGCTCGAGAAATAAAATATAACTCATTGTCAAAAAAATAATATAATGAAATAAATAATATTCTGATTTTTTATATAGTTACGATAGTTTAAATAATTTAATTTAATAAAGTATATATTTGAGACTCTGTTAGTATAATGGATAAAATATAATATATATGTTATATAGTTATATTTTATTTTTTGATTATATCGATGAAATTTAATTTTCCTGTAAATTGTGACTTATATTTCTTTTTCGGGAGCACGTTAAATTATTTTCTCTGTCTTAAATTATCTTAGGTATTCCTGATTATTCGATTATAGTAATATTATATGATACAACGTTTTCTTTAAGCTACACTGAAATATTATCTCGAATCGTTTCTCCTTCGCACGTTCGCTTCCGCTTGTCTTTCATTTCCATTCGGTAACAAATTAATTATTAAGTCGCGTAACGAAGAATATTCTTAGATAATTCTTATAAAATCTCTCAACAAAATTACTTAGCTATGACTTATTCTGAATTATCCTCCTCAGACTTTTTATTCGAAGTTACTTGTCTCTTATCGAAACACAAAATTATTTTGCATTCTGTATTTTTATTCAATATTTATCAAGTTTTTCTTTTTTATACTATTTCTGTATTGAATTTAAACTTGATATTGAATAACAGTAAATTTCAAGACTAAAATAGGATAGGCAAATTAAAAAAAAACAACCATTGTTATGTATATATAGCTTTATTTTTCCCTCTCTTTTTCTTATTTAATGTAATTTTAAAAATTATTCTTTCTCACAACTCTTAATTGAATTCTCTTTTTAAGAATACAAAATAGTTTTAATATTTTTGAACAAAAAGATCTCTCTTTTATATATGAAACAATTTTAAATATTCAATTTCAGAAGAATAAGTGACAACTTGAATGATTTTAATTTCATGTCTGAGAGGATAAAGTCAGATTACGCAAAAACAACAAAACAAACTGATTACATATTTACATATCGGATAACATCGGAATGTTTAATCACAGGAACGGTGTTAAAAGGAACGCATCTAACGCATATTCAATATTTCCCGCATCTCATATTTTTTCAATCGGAATTTTCATGCACGTGCCACTTCGTACAACGCAAACATCAATTGAATCCTGTCTCCAGTAATTCTGAAAAACTTATCACTTCGCATTTACGATTCATTCGCTTGAAAAGAAAAGCAAGCCATATAAATTAAATTAATTAAGACACATTTGTTAATATTTTTTCATTACATTTACATTGACTAAAAAAAAAGGTATGAGAACACATAGTTTATTTTGCTATCGCCAAAATGTTGAGATCAATGTTCAGTTGAAAATTTTAACACAGTTTATCAAAGCTAAATGCGAAGTAATAAGTCGGATAGCTTTGAAAAGCAGTTGGGTGGATGAGTTTTGGGGCCGAGAGTTTTGACGGGGATAAGTATCGATCGATTGCGATTGGTTGCACAACGCGAAAGGAAAAGAATGTTAATTGTACCGCTCGTCATCACGAGTCTATCTCCTAAGTTTCTTTCGCCGTGATCTTTTTAGCCGTCGAAAGATGCATTATTCACAGCCCGTGCTCTCGCTTGCGCCTAATGCTTAAGTATGCTTGTCCATACATGACCGTGAAGCTTCACAGGTGTCTCACTACGCTCTATGACAAGACGTGATATGTTAGTGTATCCTAAGTCTTGAATGCGTTCGCTATCGTCTCGCATATATTCAAGTGGATTTCGATCACACGCATTCAGCAAGTATATATTCACGTTATTTCTCTCGAAACGTATAATTGTCTAATTGTGTGAAGAAGTTAATTTTAGAGACAAACTGTACAAACATCAGTTACTGTTGATCGGGGTTAATTAAATATTTTTATTAGCCAAGAATTCATTAAAGTTTTTCAATTACTTCTGTTAAGTTTATTCTTGTTTCAAGTGATTCTTTGTTTTTTTCTGATTCTAGTTTTCTACGAAACTTGATAACTGGTTAAATAAAAATTAAATATTTGTCTGATTTTAGTTAAAAACTGCTTATTCGAGATATTGCTACAATTAAGTCTGAAGATCAATCTATGTCTTGGAAGAAAAATACGATTTTTATTGAAGAATTCTTATATCTTACCTTGAGGCAAACAGGTAATTCTATTTCATATCTAGTCGTAAGTATACGCGAGCAAAGTGTGCGTATCCTCGCTTACCATCAAACAATTAAGTACCATTTCTTCATTTCACACAGTGAAATGCTCGCGTTTATTATATTGACCGAAAAATCAATCCCTCGCAACGAAGTTAACCGATAATTTACAGTTTCGTAAAAAAATAAGCTCCGATCTCGCCTTGAGAGCTCGAGTTACGAATTCAGAACGCGTTCGGATCAAGGTTTAACGAGTGACACGCGACCTTGAAAAGTGATTCGAAACCTCTCGCGTTACGTCTCGTGTGATTAGCCTACGAGAAATTTTATCCGCGACATTATCCTCCCTCCTGTATATTCTCTCATTACAAACTCTAATCCATTCTATCTTTAGAATCATACGGTAGTTTCTCGTTAGCGGAAGAGTTGGAAGGTCGTCTTTGCTAACTCTCGGATTGCATTAATATTCAAAACAAATTACTGGCTGACTCATTATTATTAACAAGCTATTGTACGATTTTTTAATTCATTGTCCGGATTGCTTTTTTTTATTCGCTAACGAGACGACACACCGTGCACGATGATCACCTAACGATGAATAGGATATATAAGCCGTAAAAGCGGAAGCTCTCTAAAGTTCCCTCGAGCGACGATAGTTTGCTTTGTGTATACTATAATATCGTTGCTTGACTTTAAGAAGGATACTGGAGCTCCTCATTCTCTCGGCTTCTTCCTCGTATTTTCTATCTCTTTCTCTTTCTCTCTCGCACATCATACACACACATTCTCTCCTTTGGCACGTCAGCTCGTATGCTACTCTCTACTCGCTCTCTAACCTATCGTCGCGATAAAAAAATATGAGGAATAAAAATATATCACGTAACAACATCCTCCTCCCATGGGAAGAGGGACAAACTGAGGGCGAGGCCCTCATGCAACGGCGAGATACTCGACAACTCCCATATGAAAGCATCTTTTTCCTCTTCGTAACCCCTAACACTGACGCGCTCTAGCTTCGCATTAATCTTTCTCCTGCGTCTCCTGCGCGCCAAACTTCTCGAAATTTTTAATTTTACAGAGTCCTTCCTTAATAATACAGTATGCAAACGACATATTTTTTCGGCTTATTAATTTTCTTGCCTTTTTGATCGAAGGAAAGAAACATCGAAAGCGATCAATCTCCGATAAAACCTGGATGGCGTAGGATTAATTAGAAATTCTAAATACAGAGAGGTCATATCACTATATGGCATCTCTTTTAATTAAGGATTATGAAATCTTACAGAACATTCCTCATTATTCTTATCTTTCTCATTATTCATTACTCGAGCTTCTTACTTTCAACGAATTGTATTATGCATCGAGTGTGCCATAAATGTTTGCAGTTAGATCAGTTAAGGATACAAATAACCGGTGCATTCGGAACCTCGTCTTTTCGTCAATGATTTGGCATTTTCACGCAAGAAGAACGCCACGCTTCTCTCGCAAACATATTTTGCGCGAATGATTTTCGTTCTTGATCTTGTTCCATCGATGAATAGCAAACTCCAGAGACGTGCTCTCGTAACGATCGTATTGACCTTGCTACTAGGGGTAAACTTGGCGCGTAGGAGCGTTCAGCCGAGCCAGGGTAGCCATCAGCTGGGCTGCGGTGGCGTCAGTCTCACCAGGAGCCACGTGTACAATCTTGGCTTCCGCTTATCGCTCAGTTCGTACTGCAGGTTGGCTAGCCCGTCAGTGGAAAACCTCTTTTTGCCTGTTTTCAGGAACTCATACCTGCCGTCAAATAATAAGTATTTATCACAATGATATTAGAAAGCTAATTATATCTCTTTGATAATTGATAAAAAATGGTGACTTCTTTTCGACTCACCTCTTCGGATTGGCCTTCTCCTTCTTGTGCGTGAGCATCTTGTAGCGCGCGACGTTCGCCGGATAACGCGAGATATGCAAGCCGTGGGCCTTGATGCGATTCGCCATATCGTCATCCTCGCCACCCCAACCCCAGAAGACGTTGCTGAAGCCGTTCACCAGTTGGAAGTGTTCGCGCGACATTGCGGATACGCCACCAAAAAGATCGGCGTAAGGTAATCTGAGGAACGAACACTTGAAAATATTAAAAACAGGTTTTCTCGAAAAAAAAAAAAATTTATCTCGTGCCAAATACTGAAACTGTGTGTGTTATATCATAGATCTGAATCATATATATTTGAAAAATTAGATTTACTTTATTTATTTAAACTTTGATTTTATTGTATCTATTTAAAATCTATATATAATTAATTATATTTTATATCTTTATTTATATAAAATAGGCGGAAAGATGCGAGAGAAAATTGTGCTTTCACCTGTACTTGAATTTGTCCACCGCGACCGACATGTGTCTGGGCTGCTCGGGACAAGTGTACAAATTTCTATCATCCTCCGGAAGTAGGTCAACATCATGAAAGATGAAACAATCGAAGGTTCTTTCTTTCAGAGCCTCCACATAGCCGACGTTCATAAGCATTGCTCGATTAAAGGCTCCGGTACCTGAGGACAGAGCGACATGGCTAAATACTATGATACAACTATAATAAGAGTGCATAGTTGTATATAATAGTTTTTTACAAATAGATATTTAAATCTGTCGATGCAAAAATAATAAATAAAATTAGTTTGATATAATTCGGCAGTCTAGATTAGAAAAAAAAGAATAATCAAGATTTTCTTCTCTTAGAAAAATCCAATTTTTTAATTGCTTAAGAAATTCTAACTATATAATTTTGAGAATAAATCAATATATTTTATTTCAAACTCTTGATATTCGAAATTTTGTAAGTTATTAATATTTACTTAATTTTCGGAAAGCAGGTATAAAAAAAGCAATTAGCAAGTTGAAATAATTCTTTACTAAAGTATAATAAAACTTCTTTAATAAATCGCAATTAGCCAAAACAATCAGCTTTCGCGAATAAAAATTGATTAGCTCTTTGACCAAAAATATTCCATTGTTAATCAAGTTTAACCAAATTTTTAGTGAACTTTTGAACTTTTGAGCTTTTTAATTCATAAACGCCAATTAATTTGATCTACTATAAGCTATCAAAATCATTCTCGACTGCAAATAATCCGTGTGTTCTGAAAAAAAAAAATTTTCTTGACAAAATCGCTCTATAACAGACTTGTTTAAAAACCGAAGGAAATTTTGATCTTTTCCAGGAAAGTTGAAGAAAATCCGTGTACAAATTTCTGTAAGTTTGAAACTGCTGCTTTGCAAGGCTTGATGAAAGAGCGATGTTTGACGTAAGTCGTCTGGCGCAATTAAAAGTTTCGCGTCTTATCCTATCTTCGCGTTTGTTCGGGTGCCACGAACAAAAGTGGGTCATATGTAGGGAACAACTTTAGTAAATTTTCTTCATATTTCTTGTTATCTGCTTATCGTCTCCATCCTTTTGGGCTAGGATTCATAATTAAATATTAGAATAGGCTCGAGTGCGCAATTAATGGAGACGATTTTAATTTCTAAGTTAATCTATGAAATTATTTTATATATATATAAATTAATTTACATTTCTGTTAGCGTTTGTTATCCACGCTAAATTGCACAAAGGATTCGTAGATTAAATTTCCCGGATGCGGAACGCGTTGTATATGCTTTGTGCGGAGGAAGAAGGAAGCGAAAGAACATAGTGAGAACGCGAGGCTGGAAGGAACCTGACTAAACCTAACGGCGTCGTCGTCTACCGTCCGTTTATTTGAAAATAATTACGAGACCTAGCAGGTTCCTTCTCAAAGAACGAAGAGGCAAAGGCTAACGCTCTCAAAGCAGCTGGCTGCATCTCTCCCGTCCGTCATCGATTATTATTGGCTCAATAGACCTCGCGCTCGATCGAATCTCTTGAACGACCGTTATATACGGAGACAGGGGGGTCACGAGGAGGCCAAAGACCTCGGAGGAGCGTTCGCCAAACGTGTGCAAGACGGGGATATAAACAGTCTTGTTTTTCTCGGTCTCGGCGAAAAGTGTCTCGGCGCAAGTTTATTCCAGGTATTTTAGACATTTCTTTATATCGCGTCGGCGACGAAATAAAAAGGGATATGATAAAAGGGGATGGTAAGGACGGGGGCGCGGAATACGAGGGCGGTGGATGACGATAAAAGGACGCAGGTGCAGCAAACAATTTCGTAACGGGGAGAAATGGAAATTCATCCGCGCAGGAGTGCGAGAGAGAGATGGTTTCGATTTAAAAAATGTAAATGTCAAGCGATCTAATGGTGTTTGTTACGAAACGGTTTTCCTCGTCTATTTGCGACGCTGTCACATTGTTATTCGCATCCTGAAAGAGATGTTGTACAATTACGCTTTTTGACGAAATAGAAATGCAAATGATGGAAGCGACGCGACGTGCAGTTTAGCCGAGAAAAAAGATATATTATAGATATAGATATTATACGTTTTTATCTGTCATCTGTCATTATATGTTATTATCTGTTTTTCGCGATAGCATTTTTATCACCCAAACATAATTTTTTGATATAAAATCGCGCGAGCAAGATGAACCTTTTACCGAAGTGAATTTTTTCTTCTTAAGTTTGTATATATTAAAATTGATTTTTAAAAAGATTAATTGCAAGCGCGTATGGCTATTTTAATCAACATCTTCCATCGCGGCTCAGATTACACGCGACTAATTAATTCGTTTCTCTATTAAGTACAATCACAGTTGATCTCTAATTAAAATGTGACGCTCTATTGAATGATCCGTTATATCACAAGATACGAAACTACATCGCCTTTGTTTTTCGTTTCTGTCAATTCATCACTACTTCCGTCTCATAATTATTACGTCAAGAGGATGCAACTGCGGCGCGACGATGAAAGACGACGGACCGTTTATTAATGTACCTCGCTCGCGATAGGCTCTCTTCTTGCGATTCTAATAAATACTAATGAAGACTGTCTGAGTGAGTACCTTGTCTCGACAGGTACCTCTTCCAACTAGCAACAAGCTCAATTCATTTCCATATCCGCTTTCGTGAAGACGTCGCTTATTTATTCGTCCGAAAGAATTGTGTCTGCGATATAACATTATGCACTGCCACGCTTATTCAAAGTATGAAAGGGCGTCTGTCTGTATCTCTGACGTATATTTAAATTCCTGAAATATCTCATCGCACTTTCCTCTGTCTAGCATATTATATATATATATA